AAAGATGGGAGCTGTGATGATAAATAATAATCTGTTTACGGAGTGCCAGGCAGGCACTATCATTAGCTCCATTGTACAAACACTGCGTTTATTATCATATATTGTCTGCATATATTTAATCTTCCCTACAGCCTCATGGGATACTTATTATTATGATCCCCATTCTGCAGATGAGGAAACTGAGGCTCAGAGCGGTAAAAAGGCTTCCTTGTCCACATCCATCCAGAGACTGAACAGCAGAGCTAGGATAGGAACCCAGGCATCCAAGACTACCTGCCATTTAGGATGTGATGGGGCCTTACTACGTGGCTGGCATTTTAATAACAACAAAATCAACTTCAATAACCATACTGACCCCCTGTGATTCAGGCATGATATACACACATCACACACATCGCCTCATTTAGTATAACCATCCTTATACTGTGCAGCCCTTTGAACCCCAATTTCCAGATGAGGAAACAAAGCAGAGGGAAGTGAAGTAACTCGCACATCCTACTAAGGTTAGTGGTGGAGCCAGTTCCAGGATTCCTACCTGGCTCCCCAGCCAACTCAGAAAGCCCTGGCTGACCCCCCCTCCATCAGCACGTGGCCCCAGTGTGTCTCCTGGTCCACCGGCACCCTTCAGAGCCTCTGATGTTTATAATTCCGCTCTGTCAGGCTTTGAAACTCCCCCTGAACGCTGATCTGCCAGGGCTTGTCCCTGCCTAGCTTGTGTTTGCAATGGCTTTTATTGATTTTTCCAGGCCTGAAGAGCCTGCCGGGGAACACGCTCTGTTTAATGGAGCTTTAATTGGGAGGGAAGCAAGAAAGCTTTTCCTCAGCTGCCCAAGCTGCACAGGGGCTGAGACTCCATTCTCCTCCTCACTTTTGCCCAGACTATTCCCTCTCCCAGGCGGTGACGCGGTGACACAAACGCACTGTGCCTGGAGTCGTGGGCAGGCCCAGACGCTTCCTGCTGCTGACTCACAGCGTGACCTTGGAGGAGTCCCGCCTGGGCCTCAGCCTCAGCTGCAAAATGGGACTAGATAACCTCTCCTTCTCAGGACTGGGGTGCAGATTATTTGGGAGAAGGGACATAAAAGTTTGAGCCCAGCCCTTGGTACCTAGTAGGTACTCAATAAACCATCAATTTGCTTCTGGCCTCCCCGTTCCCAGACAGACTGGGTTTGAATCTTTGGTGGCCTTGGGCAAGTTACGTTAGCCTCTCAGTGCCTCAGTTTCCTCATCTGTAAAAAGAGGACACAAACGAGACCCATGGCCTCTCTTGTATTCACTGAGATGCTCTAAGTGAAGCACTAACTGTGGTGCCTGGCAGATAGCAAGATCTCAATCAAGGTTACCACTTATCATCGTTATCATGGCTATTAAGCCTCAGTTTCCTTATCCGAAACAAGGGGAGCGTTTCACTCAGAAGCTGGGCTGGTTACTAACACTTATCAACACTCAGCATGAAACATGGCCTTTCAGATTATGTGGTAATGCTGGGGTGCAGTGAACCCCATTTCTTCTTTGCCTTTTTATTCCCTCTACATCGGTTTCACTTCTTCTTTCTATGAAATCCTGTCCAGATATCTGATGTGGTGTCTATTTTCCTGCTTGTCCTGACGATACAGCACCCCAAGGTCCCCAAAGCCAGGTCAGGTTAAGATCTCTCCTGGAAGCCGGTCGAGGAGAGCTCTTCCCTACAGATAACTTCTGTGGGCTGCATTCCTGATCCCTGAAGTCACCTGTGTCCTGCTGTCATAGCTTCCCCTCTAAGGAAACGTTCTCTCAGCTATTCCCGGGGCAGAGGGTTCCCTCTCCCTCCCACTGCCCCCTCCCCCACTCACCAGACACCTCCACGTATCCGTCCTTGGTCTTCACCATCAGCTCCTCTGGCTTGAAGCTGTGCACGTTGACACACACTTTCCAGGGCTCCCCAGGGAAGGGTGGGGGGCTCCTGCCCTCGGCAGGTACCCCAAACCTGGATGTGGCAGTGGGCACCCGGGGCAACGTGCCCGATCTCAGGGACCCCGGCCAGGCCGAGGAGAGTCGAGGCAGGGCCCAGTCGGGCCAAGAGGCAGTCAAGTCGTCGGGGAAGGGGTCCATGCCAAAGCCATCATCCAGCAGGCGGTGGGAGGAGAGGGGCGAGTCTCGGAAGGGGTCTCTGCGCAGGCGGCTTGGGTAGTGGCAGGGGAAGGGCATCTGACCATCCGCCATGGCGGCTGCTGAGCTGCAGGGGAGACGGAGCCTCAGAGAGAGAGGGCCACCTGCCCAAGGTCACACAGCAAGGTGATATGGGTGGGTTAGCCTTCCAAGCGTATTCTTCACCTTCAGAAAATGCCGAACCATCCACTGCCAAGGACCAAGGCACACACCAGGCTAAGGTCCCAGCCCCTAAAGACACTCCAGCCACCAATGGCGATCCCTCGGCTGGTTCAGCTGAGTCCCAGAGGGCCCCTCTCCACACCTCCTCACCAGAGATCAGTCAGCCACTGTCCTCCCAGGCCGGCCCAGGCTGGCAGCCAGAGCCGCTGAGCTCTAGAGTACAGCCAGGAGCTTCATAAACCCCTAGAAACTTCTCTCTGCTTCTGGGCTGGGAGCCTTCTATTTATTGCTGTGAGGGGCCGGAGGCGGGTTTTGCAAGCGCCTCCTGTCACAGGAGTATTCGGAGGCGATGAACTAGCCCTGGAGAATCTGTGTAGGGAACAGCTGGGCTCCCAGGGGGCAGGGAGGGGCCTTCTCCTCCAACTCAGCCAGCCTCTCCGGGCAGTCCCTCCTCCCCCAGCCAGGCTCAGCTCCGCCCTCCCCCACTCTCTCCTCCAGGGCCCGCCCTCCTGGAGCGGGGCACTAAGGCCTGACTATTAATAACCCTGGCCTGGCTGACAACTCAGGTCACCCTCTGCAAATACCTTTCCCTGAGCATGCTGCATCCTGCCTCCCCTATGGGGACCTGCAGAGGGGGAGGGAAAAGCCGGGAGCCCGGTGGATTTGAAGGCAGATGGCCCTGGGCTGCAATCCCCACTTGCAAACTCTCAGCGCTTGCCTTCAGTGCCCCCTGAGGGCAGTGCAGTCACATTATTCCCCAGGCATCTCCGAGCTGTCAGTTTCCCCACCTGTACAATGGACACAGTGGCAGCCTGCTCATGGATGTGTCATGAGGAATACATGAGGCCGTCCTCCCGACGCGCTTCGCAGACCGGCACTCTTATATTGTCAATGTGGAGTTCTCAATTATTTAACACTCGCTATGTGCCAGACCCTGCTCTAAGTGTTGTACAAATATGAACTTGCCTCATCCTCACCGACATCCCGAGATACAAGGGTCCTGGCATCACCCCTTTACAGAGGAGGATACTGCGATCGCGTGTGTTAACAGGTGGTAGTTTTTATGATTACTTTTGTGGCTGTTAATAGTGAGGATTATCAAAAGGTGTGGTTCCCAGGCAGGGGTCTGGTCTGAAGACCTTTTCTCTAGACCTTCCTGCCCCTCCCACGTGGCTTGGTGAATGGTTTTACAAATGCTTCTTTGACCAAAAGGCTCCTGGATCTTTTTGGTTCCAGGCTTTGATCTGTCCCCAACAGGTGGGGCAATTTGGGGCATGACACGCTCCCTTTGTGGGCTTCAGGGTCTCGGCCCTGCCTTCTCCCAGGGAAAGGGTGGGGTGGGTGCTAAGGAATTCAATGAGTCATTGGCTGAGGAATCAAGTGGATGTTTAGCAGTGCCTGCATGAGGCAGTTTGCTAAAAATAATAAAATGGCGAACGTCAGCCATCGCCATCCTCCACTGCCTCCTATGTGCCTGTCACTGTGGTGAGCATGTCGCAGACATTATCTCATTGAGCCCTCACAACAACAAGGGGTTGGGTGTCATCATCACCCCTATTTTGCAGATGAGGAAACAGAGGCGCAGGGTTTGGCCCCTGCACACAAATGTGGGGTTGCAGGGGAGGGAACCTGACTTGTTCTGAGGCTCAGATCCTTGCAAGTTGGCTGTCCCAGGCCCCCACTGCCCGCCCCCTCCAGCCGAAGGAGAGAGGCTGAGGCACCTCCTCTCACACACACACACACACACACACACACACACACACACACACATCCGAGTGACTGGGTCCCCACTTGGGGTGAGATCATCAGGCTAGAAGCTTCGGGCTGACGTCACAGCTGGGCACAGACGCCTGAGCTCTCTCTCTCTGTAATCACTGCTGGGGCGAGGCTGGCTGGGTTTGGAGCCAGGATAGGGAGAAGGACTGCATGATGCAGAGGAGAAAGCTGGCGACGCCTGGGACCTGGACTGGGACCGGGGGTGAGGTTTCTGCGTGGGTAGGACAGGGTGGGGGCGGCTTGGTCCCAGGTGAGTTTTTGTGTGGAT